CTGCATGCATGCATACACACATAAACACACACACATACATATGTATGCATGCATACATACATACATGCATGCGTACATACATACACACATACACGCATATTCACATACACACGTATCCACAAACATACATATACAAGCATACATACATGCATACGTACACATATACATACATGCGTACATGTATACAGACAGACAGACAGACAGACAGACAGACAGACAGACAGAAAGACAGACAGTCAGACGTACATACATATATACATGCATGCATACATACATACATACATGTGTTACATATGCACATGTGATTGCATATAAGCAAATACATACATAGTTATATATATATATATATATATATATATATGTATGTATATGTGTGTCTGCATACAGATATGTATATATATACACACAATACTGTGTTGGCGCTTCGCGCCATGCAGCTTGAGGCGGAATAGCCGGAATAGGCCAAACAGACAATTGAGCGATAATTCCTTTGTTGCCTTTTCCAGCATCGCCATGATAATAATGTGATTCGGTTTCTTTCCTCCATACTTCTTTTCCTTCATTCTCGCCCTGCGAATTCTTCCCCATCCTCCTCGGCTCTTTTTGCGGAGGCTCCTCCTTGGAGAGCCTCCGGGGGGCATCAGGGAAGTTGTTCAGGTTTTCTTAAGGCCTTCTGGAGTCCTCTTGGGCGTCTTCTGGGGGCCTCTGGGGGCTTCCTCGGGCCACCCTGCCTCCAACCGCGGGCTCCCTGAACGACCGGGTCACGATTGGAATGCTTCGGAGGATGTCTTGGGCCATATTGAGCCGTCATGGGGCTCTCGTAGGCCATCTTGGAACCCTGTTGTGCCGTATTGGGGCTCTTTTGGATTGCCTGGAAGCCCTTTCGGATGGTTTTGGGCCGATTATCGAGCCTCCCATGGCATTCCCACAATCATGCAAAAACTTTTAGAAATCTATGTTTGTCTGCGTTTTGGAAGCCTCTGGGGGGTCTTTGGGTCGTCTTCGGGCGTCTCGTGGGTGTCTGGGGCCTCCTGGGGCCCTCGGGGGGGCGTTCGGCCGCCCTCCTGACCGATTTGGCCCGTTGCCCAGGCCCAGCTAGGGCTTCCAGGAGCTCTGAAACGCCTGGGGGCCTCCTGCAGGGCCCCGGGGGCCCAGTATTCGGGGGGTCCAAATGGGGGGGGGGTCCCGCGTAATCTACAAGTGGCACGTGTGTGCCCAGGCTCATACGAAAAAAACGAAGAAAAGGCGCTTGAAGCAGGAAGACACCATGACTGCGGGTTCGGAGATGGAGAAGGGGAAGCTGGGGCGGCGCCGCCAGGGCGTGCCTATGAGAAGGGGAAGAGGCAGGAGGTGAACGCAGAAGAATATAAGATCGAGGTCGCACTCGAGCGCAAGTGGGGTTGCCACACCTTGCGATGTGTGTACCAGGGCCCCCCAGGAAGCCTCAGGAGGCCCGACTTGGATACCAGAAGAGGCTCCATGAGGCCCCAGGATTGTGAGTGGTGTGTGTGTGTGTGATGTGTGCTCTGTGCTGTGCGTGTTTTCTGTGCGTTGTAGGTGTTGTGTGTGTGTGTTATGTTTGTCCAGCGTGTGATGTGTTGGGTGTGATTTGTGTCTCTGTGCGTGCATGTAGTTCTGAGGCCCCAGGAGGCCCCAGGAGGCCCCAGGCGGCCTCAGGAGGCCCCAGGAAGCCCCAGGAGGCTCCAGGAGGCCCCAAGAGGCTCCAGGAGGCCGCAGGAGGCCCCAGGAGGCCTCAGGAGGTTTCAGGAGACCCCCAGGAGGCTCCGAGGCGGGGTCTGGGGTACCAGAAGGTTCAGAAAGCCCCCAGGAGGCCCCAGGAGGTTCCAGGAGGCCCCCAGGAGGCTCCGAGGCGGGGTCTGGGGTTCAAAAAACACATGGTAATTTCAATAATTTTGGCACCGATTCTCAGATAATGGCGGTTTCGCCTAAAACATATTCCCAAAATCGAGCCCCGACGTACCCTCTGGTACCCCAGACCCCGCCTCGGAGCCTCCTGGGGGCCTCCTGGAACCTCCTGGGGCCTCCTGGGGGCTTTCTGAACCTTCTGGTACCCCAGACCCCGCCTCGGAGCCTCCTGGGGGTCTCCTGAAACCTCCTGAGGCCTCCTGGGGCCTCCTGCGGCCTCCTGGAGCCTCTTGGGGCCTCCTGAAGCCTCCCTGGGTCTCCTGGGGCCTCCTGAGGCCGCCTGGGGCCTCCTGGGGCCTCAGAACTACATGCACACACAGAGACACAAATCACGCCCAACACATCACACGCTAGACAAACATAACACACACACACACACACACACACAACACCTACAACGCACAAGAAGCACGCACAGCACAGAGCACACATCACACACACACACACACACAACACTCACAATCCTGGGGCCTCCTGGAGCCTCTTCTGGTAATCCAAGTCGGGCCTCCGGAGGCTTCCTGGGGGGCCCTGGTACACACATCGCAAGGTGTGGCAACCCCACTTGCGCTCGAGTGCGAGTTCGCTGTTGCATGTCACTCCTGCTTCAAACGCCCCTTCATTTTTTTGTATGAGCCTGGGCACACGTGCAATGTGTGTATATATCTATAGATGTACACATAAATATGGGAGTTTACACCTGTATTTGTATTCTCTCCTCGCTCCTGGTCGTGCTATTCCTGGTCCTTGTCCTCGTCTTCCTCCCAGTCTTCATATTCCTGCCCGTTCTCCTTCCTTCCATTACTTTCCTCCGCCCTCTCTCCCTCGCTCCTCCGTCCTGCCTCCCTCCTTCCTTCGTTGACCGCCCGTCCTCCTCTCTGTCGTCGTCCCAGGTCGCCTTTTGCAAAGACCAAACCACACGGCCCAAAAGACGACGGCCCAAGCATAGCGTGCATACACGGAGGAGCAGCAGGAAGAAGGCTGACAGGGGGCAGGAGGAGGAGGAGGAGGAGAACTGGTGAACTACGGGGGGGAAGGGACAGGGCCTTCGGGAGGATGAGGAGGGAGGGGAAACAGAGAGACGAATATATATATATATATACATACATACATACATACATACATACATACATAGATACATACATACACATATATCTATAGAGAGATATACATAGATCTGTATATACACATATATATATACAGAGAGAGAGAGAGAAACAGATGAGATGATACCGGGGACAAGCCCTAACATAATATGTTTAGGGCTATATGGGCTATAGGGCTATTGGGCTATAGGGTAATAGAACTACAGGGCTATTGGGCTATAGGGCTATAGGGTACAGGGGTATAGGGCTATAGAGCTATAGGGCTATCCGGCTATACGGCTATAGGGCTATTGAGCTATAGGGCTATAGAGCTGTAGAGCTGTAGGGCTATAGGGCCATAGGGCTATTGGGCTATAGGGCTATAGGGCACCCCCGGGCACGCCCGGGCACCCGGGCACCCCTGGGCACCCGGGCACCCGGGCGTGCAGCGAAAATCGCCGGCAAACCTAACCTAACCATATGAATCCGCTAGGACCCCTACAGAGGCAAGCTCTGATTGGTTAATAAAAAGAGAGATACAGAAAGAGAGAGAGAGAGAGAAACAACAACAACAACAACAACAACAACAACAACAACAACAACAACAACAACAACAACAACAACAACAACAACAACAATATCAACAACAAAAGGAGTAGGAGCAGGTGGAAGACGCGGACTAAGACGAGGATGGGAAGAAGAAGGAGGAGGAGGAGGAGGAGGGGAGGAGAAGGAAGAAGATAATGACTACGAAGACGAGGACGAGGCTGAGAGGAACATCTGAGGGGGGAGACGAGGAGGAGGAGGAGGAGGAGGAGGAGGAGGAGGAGGACGACGAGTGCGAGGGCGACGGCGACGGTGACAACGAAGAGAACAAAAGGGAGGATGCTGAGGAGGGCCGACTGACGCCTCATTCCCAACCCTCCTGCATCGTTGGATCACCGTTTTGAAATCTGCATCGCCGCGCGTCTCCTCTACTCCTCCCCCTCATCTTTCTCTCCCTGCCTCTACTCTCCATATGCCAACTTTGGCACACTCACACACACACAGACACACACACACACACACACACAGACACACACACACACACACACACGGATGGTGCCACATACGTAATCAGGGAGCTCCATTTGCGGCCCCAGTGGCAGAGTCCGCTCGCCGCGGCCCGCCCCTTTCGGCACATCCCTCACGCAGATCGTGCCACGCACGCAATTCGGGAGGTCCGCTTGCGGCCCCAGCGGCAGAGTCCGCATGCCGCGGCGCGCCCCTTTCGGCACACAGCCATCGCATCGTGCCCCACGGTGAGCTTCGCCTGCATCGCCAGTGGTCGGCCCTCGCATGCCGACCCCCACACACCTCTCGACGAGCCCGTCACGAGGATCGTGCCCCTTGCGGTGAGCTCCAGCGCGCCTGCTCCTGCGCTTCCTTGCCTGCTCTGCAGCGCCCCCCCCTGTCCGCGCGGCCCCGCGGCGCGCGGCTGGAAGAGAGGGCCACGCCCTGCGCGGCACGCGGTTTTGCACGGAGTTGGGCCCTTCGCCAGGTGGATGTTCTGCTCGGAGCGCCTTAGGTGCACTCTGTCCTCCTCCGCTCCCCAGACCCCGATCCTGCAGCCCAGGACTCCAGGCGTGACAGGGAGGGTTGTGGACAGAGGACGGCACAGCTCCCCCCCCCAGCCAGGAACCCCACCCCCTGACCTGGTGATCCAGGGGGTCGTGGCTGGGGGTGGGATGGTTTTCTGGCGTACAAAAAAACACCCTCACTCCCAGCCACGACCCCTCGGTGGGGGTGGGTTGTGTTGTCTTCGTTGATTGGCCTCGAGATGCAGCAGAGACTGTGGTGGCGTTGTTGCGCATGTCACAAACAATCACAGCCGCACGACCCACAGCATGCGATATTCGTCGAGGTTGGGCAGCATGTCAGAATCTTTCGAGGATGATGTTTGCAAATGGCTTTGAGGGGTCATGAATGAAGTCATATGAAATGACGGATCAGGAGCAGCCATTCCCTGCACCAAGCAAGTGGCGTGTCTGAACGCTGCCGGGTATGAGGCGGGCCATTTCGATTTTTATTGTTGTGTTTGTGGATGTGCATTATTTGAATCGGTTGTTCATGCATATCGCATGTTGGATTTGGTTGTGAGTTGTTCCAGGCGTTTTTTGCTTCTGCGTGTTCAACACGCTATGTTTGTGTGTCCAATGTGCGAGATGATGCGCTGGAGATGTTTCAGCACAGCAGCAACAGTCGATTGAATCAGGATCATGCCATTGGGTGTTCTGACTGATCTCATGAAAGCGTGGAGTGATGGCTCGCGGTTTTGCAGAAGCGGTCGCGTGGGACCTTGGCTCAACATAGCAGGTTTGTATAACGTTGATGGCATGGCCGGTTGACTTACGCTCGCTGCGTCCATGGGCATCTGACCTGATGCAGCAGCCGCGGTGTTGCCGCTGTGCCGCCTGGGGGTGCGACGGATATGGCGAGAAGCTCAGCATGGCAATGGATTCCATTAACGACTTTTCGTCGCGCCTGACGCGGATCGAGACCCTCCTTTTCCTCAGCGACTTCAAGCACTTCCAGGGCCTGGACGCGCTGATCAGCGGCCTGAAGCAGCAGGCCGTGAAGCGGGAGTCAAAGGGACCCACGGGGAGACCCGCATGGCAAGGGTCAGCACCCGTCGTGGATTTCTCTCCCGGCCCCCGTCACAGAGACCGCATCCGGAGGATTTGCATCGTCGTCACTGGTTGGCTGGCCGACCCTGCAAAAATCAAGAACACCATTGTGCCCCCTCATTTCCGAGCTGTCTGTACCATGTGTTCTCAGAGCCTCTGGCTTGCTTGTACGACGCTGCCCTCGGAGGAGTCTGACGTCCTTTCGGCGTTGGAGCTGGATTTTGGGCCAGCACGCAGCGAACGATACTTCACCGCCCCCCCGCCCCCAGCACACAAACACACACACACACACACATCACTATCTTTATCACAGGCCACTGCAAAGTGATGATGGGGGTGCGTGCAAATGATTTCAGTTTATTACATGTCATGTTTGACGAGGATGCTTGGGGGGACATGTGTTCGAGTCGGCGACCACTGGAATGGGGGATACGGACGCTTTCCAAGCAGGAGCACAGATCGAGCCAGAGGAGGCCCTTTTGCCCCCCTCCTCTTCCCTCCCCCCTACAGTCAGCCTGTCTGCAATCCCTGACATGATCACGAACGCTTCATGCGATGCGGAGGCAGAAGGTCCGATGTCCTTGGCACCAAAGTGCTGTGGTAGCAGTCTGAAGGCTAACGGCTGCGGAGTAAAGAAGACCCATCCGAGGTGGGGTGGGAGCGTTGGAGTCGGGATCTTGCCCAGATCGTTCGGTCTCCTGCTGGCCGTTCGGCTGGCCTTCCGTGTGGGGCACGATCCGCGTAAAAGGGGTGCCGAATAATCCGGGTGCCTTCGCGCGAGCCCGCTCATTGAGGCCACAGGTGGAGCTTTTTCTGGGGCACGACCCGTGTGAGGCCATGCGAAGTTGCCCATTGGTGCCATAGGTGGAGCTGGTTACGGTGCACGATTCGCGTGAATGGCGTGCCGACATGGGCGAAGGGACGAATCGCCAACCTTGTCTCTGGGGTTGTGGGTGGTGCTTCTTGTGGGCCCTGTTCCGCGTGAGGGATGTACCGCAGTGGGCAGGGGAGGGGGGGGGGGCGCTGTGCGAACCTTGTCTCTGGGGCCGTCGGTGGAGCTCCCTGTGGGGCACGATTAGTGTGAGAGGTGTGCCGAAGTATGCGGGGAGGGCGGGATGCAAACCTTGTCTCTGGGGCCGTAGGTGGAACTCCTTGCAGGACACGATCCTTGTGAGAGGTGTGCCTACATGAGTGGAGCGACGTTGCGCGAAGCTTCCTTCTAAATGCACTTACTTGCGGAGCAACACGATCCGCGTGAAGGTGTTCCTCCATGCGATGGGGCCGTACGATCCTTGTGAGGGGTGTGCCAAGATAGGTGGGGGGGCCCCAGGTGGAGTTTCTTGAGGGCACGATGCGTATGAAGGATGTGCCGAAATAGGCGTGGAGACATTATTCATATATGTATGCCCACAAAACGGCAGGGGTTCCCACGTGGTGATCGTGGTGGGATGGCGTGCGTACCCATCCGCTGATTGATATGACGCTGGCTTTGCCTTGGCTAGAGCGTAAGCGCGCAAAACGCGCTCGTTTTTCTAGTGAAACTATTTCGACCACCGAATCAAGTGTTTAAATATTTGCTTCGAAATGTTCTTAATCCCGGGCCCCGAGGAGCAGCAGAAGCAGCAAGGAAGTGTTGGACGAGGAGGAGGAGGAGGAGGAGCAGCAGCAGCAGCAGCAGAAGAAGCGGTAGGAGTTGCCTCCTCCCTCCACCGGCGGGAGAGGGGGCCCTCAGGAGGAGCAGGAGCCCGCGCCCGGCGCCCGCCCGAGCCGAGGGCGAGCCCGAGCCGAGTCGGGTCGGACTCCGACGCTGGCGCCGCGCGCCAAGGAGGGACTCCTCCTCCTCCTCCTCCTCCTCCTCCTCCTCCTCCTCCTCCTCCTCCTCCTCGGGTTAGGCTTGGGGGGGATGCATCGACCCCCAATCGCCCATAGATCGCCGATGTAGGGGTATGAGAGTCTCAACCCGCGCAGGAAGGTGCGGATTCACTCGGGGGCCTCTCGCCGATCTATCGGCGATCTATCGCCGACTCCAGGTCGATGCATCCCCCCTATGCCAGTCCCCCCCTATCGTTGCCCCCCACCCTTAGACCGTGGCGCTATTCGGTAGCAAATCCGTCTTTTGGCGTTGTTCGAGAGCCTGGTATACCCTGAGATCATGGCGTTGCATTTTTTTCACAACGGGCGTTTTCGCTCGATTTCGGGCCCCCCTGGGACCCTCACAGATCGATCCGGCTCTGAAAATGACGCAGAAAGATGGGGTCCGGGGGTCGGGGCGTGTTTTTGTACGATGTTGCAACTTTTTTGCAACGTCGGATCCCAGGGTACCCTATTGAATCTGTCTGTGGCGTCGACTCTGGGAGTGGGTGAGACAGCGCCGATCTAGAGTCGGTCACAATGTAGGCGCGAATCTTAGAGAGTTCCCACCCTGGCGCCCCCCTTTCAAAGTGCTGACCAGCGCCTCGCCAGAAAGATCCTCAGAGTCTGCTCCGAAAGCAAAGGACTGTGAGCACGCAAACAGGAAAACCGCTTGAGGTAACCACAAAGTCTGGGCGCGAATGGTGGAGTCTCCCCACCCCTGGCGCCCCTTCCTCGGGGTGCCCAAACGCCACGCCTGCAATATCACGGTGGGCACTGGACCATCAGAAGTGAAAGTCTGGCGTGCAGAAACAGGCAAGCCGCCTGAGGCATCCCCACAATCTGGGCGCGAATCCTGGAGTGTCTCTACACCTGGCGCGCCTCCTTGGAGGGCCCAAATGCTACGCCTCCTATTAGACCACCAATGAATCTGAGTTGGCCTGGGTCTGCGTATGAGAGGAGTGTGAATGTGAGCTAATCTGAGTGCGAGTGAGCCCGAGAGTGAGTGAGTCTAAGTGTGAGTAAGTTTGAGGATGACAGAGTATGAGTGAGTCTGAGTGTGGGTGAGCCAGTCTGCTTGAGGTTGAGGAGGAAGAGGAGGAGGGGAGGAGGAGGAGGAGGAGGAGGGTCTGTTCTCTCGGAGCCGTCTGAGTCATAACACGAACCCCCATCGTAGGATATCGGGAACAGGAGCCCCATCTTTGAATATGGTGAACAACGAGAACCACATCTCAGGATATCGGAACAAATCCGCAGAACGTCCACGGGGGTGGGGCGCCAGAGACAGCCGCCCCCATCATAATGCGGCTGCGTGGCGGCACGGAATTACCGGTTAGGGGGCTCGCAGAGGCGGGGGGTATCCTGGGGTGGGGCCGGGGGGCGAACCCAGTTGGATGCTCACATTTCTCGGGACCTCGCAAAGGGGGGCGGGGCCACAGCGGTGGGGGGAGTTCGGTCCGTTGGCGCATCGAACCGCAGAAAAACAAGGTCTCCGGCCGCCGCCGGAACCTGAGAGGTGTCGACAATCGGGGCGCGCGGGGGCATCGTTTTTTCGGAAATTCGATGCACCAGCGGATCGAACGCAGAGGCGGGGGGTATCCTGGGGTGGGGCCGGGGGGCGAACCCAGTTGGATGCTCACATTTCTCGGGACCTCGCAAAGGGGGGCGGGGCCACAGCGGTGGGGGGAGTTCGGTCCGTTGGCGCATCGAACCGCAGAAAAACAAGGTCTCCGGCCGCCGCCGGAACCCGAGCGGTGTCGACAATCGGGGCGCGCGGGGGCATCGTTTTTTCGGAAATTCGATGCACCAGCGGATCGAACTCCCCCCCCCCTCAGGGCACCCCCCTTTGATGGACCCCGAATTTCTTTTTTCTACAAGACTCGTCAAACATAAATTCACGGTTCTTGTTTTTGGTGCTTGCGTGGTCGGCGCTTCTTCCATGTTGGCACGAGGTATTCGGCCCCGACGCAGGGGCGCCCAAAATCCAGCAGTACCCTCACGGCACTGAAGAACGCGTTCTTTGACAGGTGCCCGCGAAGTAGCGAGCGTCTCGTTTCTGAGAGCAGCGTTTCAATATGTTTGTGACGAGGTTTGGAGGGGCTGGTTGGAGCGAGTTTCCTTCTGGCTACCCCGACCCACAGCTTTCTGCCCCTCCGAGCCAGGAATCACTGGACGCGTTCCGCTACTCGCAAGGTGCCTACTCGCAAACGTCAGAAAAGCAAGTGGTTGCCTCGATGCAGTGGGGCGTAGATCCCCCGCGGTGGATCCGAGCCATTTGCGAGCAGTTTCTTTGCGAGCAGTGGAATGCGCTTATCTAAGGAAAGAGCCCTGGACCCTGGCCCCCCAGCAACTCAGCAGCACCTGCATAGCTCCTCCTCCTCTTCCTCCTCCTCCTCCCTCCTCCTCCTCCTCCCTCCCCCCTCCTCCCTCCCCCCTCCTCCCTCCTCCCCTCCTCCCCCTCCTCTCCTCCTCCTTCCCTCCTCCTCCTCCTCCTCCTCCCCTCCTCCTCCTCCTCCTCCTCCTCCTCCTTC